ATAAACCAACACAACTCAATACTAATACTAATACCATACTTAAGAATTTATGGAAAGCATGCTACTATCCGTTTATTGAAATAAAACCCAACCTTAAACCTATATTGAGTATTTAGCCAGTTAACTATAACCAGCCCGTCTTATCTTTATGTTATACAGGTTAATTTGGCCCATTTATGATAGTCCATAAGAGATGTTTAGGAGTTTAAGATCGAAAGACCAGGAATATTCTGGAATACCGTTCGCATCTGATCAGCAACTGCCTGGTCAGCCCCTACTCCAACTGGCAACTTACTCGCCACGCATAAAGACGACCACGCATCAATTGTCACAAGGACCACAATCCCCAATAAAAACAAGCAACAGAACCCTCCAAGAATATACCGTTTCTTCATCTTAACGTCGTCCTTGAACAACTCAAAGAGCCAGCATATCATACAGATTAGCATCATTATAATAGTGGCGATATAAAGGAGTATCATCAATATCATCATCGTCTCATCACTTAGCCACTTCATAGTAATATCTTCACTCTGCTGACAGACTAACATGCGCGAGAAGAACGAAGCAATAATCCCCACCACTAAACAAGTAACCATCATCAAGACAAACCGGTAGGGTCCCCACATATTACTACGCGTACTCCATGGCCCCCGCGTAATAGAAAAGAAGCCACTACAAATGCTACATGCACCCAAAATCGTTGTTATTAACCCAAACCCAACCAGTGTAATAACCATGCCTATAGATACCGGTTTCCAAATAAAGGTCTTTATCTTACTAGCAATAATCGCATCACTAGACGCACCCCATCCTGATGGAATTGCGTCCCTAAACCAACCATTCGTTGTTCTTTGTAACAGGCCAGCAAAGTGCGGAAAGATCAGCACTAGAAATACGGCCAAGAAGAACATTGGAGCTAATTGGTATAAGAACTTCCAACCACAACCAGCTAGTACAGTATACGTCTCACCATCAAGCTCCACAATGTTAAGCGACCAATCAGGATCATGTTTCAGAGACAGGTGATATTGAGCCGGATTAGCACCACTATTAGTAAAATCACTAGGCTCGAAGGGAATAGGTGGAAGTGGGGCACGAAGCGCATCCGTATCAGCTTCTAAAAACTTCACCATCCTAGTACTTGCAAACCGTTGATCTTCATACGCTTTTTTTGCTCCTTCAATATCCGGATCTGGTGGTAGACTAATCCGTGAGACAATACTGGCTTGGGATGCTGTTGATGTTGCTGATCTTATGCTGCCAGAATCACTAGAACCGCCAGAAACTGTAGTACTTGAAGCTCCCGATGACGAACCGGAGTTTACGAGGCGTTGATTTAGATCGGTAGTAGAATTAGATATAGTATTTCCCATATTGATCAGCAAAAAAAATCCGATTTAAACCAACTACCAATTAACAACTGCAAATTTAGAACTGATAAGACAGATTAACCAATAAATAGATAAAACCCCAACAAAATGTTTATTGATCTTCCTTTTTGGGTAATTTAGTAAACGAGTATTCTTTGCAAACTTCCTTATGAAGCAATGTGTTGATTATCTTTAATTTGTCAACGATATCGGAAAGCCTTTCATGCTCTTCTATCAGTTGTTTAATCTGTTCTTCGAGGGCCTCAGCTCGTTCCTTGAAGGGCCGGACCTCTTTCTTGGGCTCGGAGTCTTTGGGGACATTGACGTTTTCATGTTTTATCTCATCCCGGCCTGTATTAGTCATGTTGTGCAAAAAAAACACAAGTTAGTATTGAAATTGGGTTTCATATCGGGTTTTAGGCGAGTACTAGGTAAGTGATTGTGTTTATGATTGGATTAAGATGGGTGGTGACTGGTTTTTGGCGGTCAGGTTGGAAATCAGCAGATATTATGTTTAAGTTTTGATTTTGATTAGAGGGTAAGATTAGTATTTGGGCTGGTAAATAGTAGTTATAGATAGATATGGTAGTGTTTTTAGATAAGAGCTGCCGGATTAAGGGTGCTCTCTACGAGTCTTTATTTTAAGGACTTTACCGAAACCAACGGTGCGTGACTCGTCACGGAGAGTGAAAATACCCGTGCGACGGCTGGGAGCATGAACTTCCAGAGGAATGACTTGTGGAACTAAGATTTCCGCCACCAGCTTATCTCCAGTTTTAGCGAATTTAACCTTGTGAATCTTATCATTCTCTTTCTTATAGAGTTCACCAATAGTGATTGGAACCGTGCGAGCACCCATATGCATAACGGCCGAGTAGCCTTTGCTAATTAAGGTCGTGGCATCCAGAATACTAAGTTGGGCCATAAAGTAGTTAGAATCAGAAACATTCGTATATTCTAACGCAGTGATCATATCACCAGCCTGGACTTCTTCAGCTTCTCGGAACTTAATACGCACGGTTTCACCTGGATGGGCATCAGGTACTTCTTCTTCCTCTTTACTAATAGAAGTGATCTTAAGCTTACGATCACCAGGTGAGACTTTAACCGTGGTCTTATTTAAGATCCCGCGCTCAACTCTTAAAAAGACAGATAAAGAACCCATATCTTTCATAACATCAGTTACTTGGGCAAATAAAGGAGCTTCCGTATCACGAGGCATAGAAATCGTATCAAGATAAGTAAAGAAAGAAGGACCTTGGTACCAGGGACAAACATTACTATCTAAAGGCTTATCAATACCCAGACCTAAAAATCCACTAATCGGGATGTAAGTCACATTATCTTTCCCAAACAAAGATTGCAGCATCTTCTTAGTTGACTTAACAATATGATTATAACGATCACTTGACCAATTAACCGTAGGATCGTCCATTTTGTTCACCAGTACGCATATTTGCGCAATACCTGAAGCTTTAGCCAAGTAGATATGCTCTCTAGTCTGACCGCCTTTTTCAAACCCAGATTCAAACTCGTTCTGTCGTGCTGAGATGACCAGTACGGCTACATCCGCCTGATTAACTCCCAGAATCATATTGGGCACATAAACCTTATGGCCTGGTGCATCAAGAATCTGCACAGTATAATTAGCCAGATCAAAAGAAGCATACCCTACTTCTGTTGTTTTTCCTTTCTCACGCTCTTCCGGATTACTATCTAAAGCCCAGGAGAGATACCAGCTCTCTCGATTCTTCTCCCGTGACTCTTTTTCAAACTTATCCAAAGTCCGCTTATCTATTCGACCGGACAAGTAGAGAATTTGTCCGCCGATTGTTGACTTGCCAGCATCTACGTGGCCAATAAACACAATACTCAACGCCTTCTTCTTAATAGACATCCGTTGAAGTTCACTTGCAATACTATCCATATTTGAAAAAACTATTGGCTGACATTGAGTTAGTATCTGAGTTGAGTTGATATGGAGTTGGATTGATGTGGTGTTAGTATTGGGTTGGTGTGGGGTTGGGTTGAGTTAGGTTAAGGTGGTGTTAGTATTGGGTTGGTATGAAGTTGAGTTAAGTTGGTATTTGGTATCTTATGTATTGTGGGATTGATTTATTTATTCTGATTTTGACTATTCCTAAACCAGTTCATTATTATTATAATTTTCCTTTTATGGTAATTTGTTGAGTCATCTTCTTACTAACTCAATTAGTAGTAAAGAAACACAATCAACTTAATTCAATCAAATACTAACTGTCGTGTTGGTATGTGGTAACTCGCCATTCTCAAGCAATCCTAATACTAAACTAACCCAATTAGACACTCTTCAAATTTACTGAATAAAACGTCATAGTTAATTATGACGTGTATACTACCTAATTAGGTTACTACTAGGTTACTACTAGACTAGTATCTTCTTCTTAAACCAATTCCATTCTGTATTTATAGTTGGGAATTCTACTCTACTAATCTCTAACTCCAACCCAATTTAATCCTTGTTCTTGGCACTACTGATAAGTAATAAAGATACGTTGCCGGGTGTTTATCTCCTCTGAAACCTACTGCAATCCAACTGACATAATTCAAAGACTTCTATTCACTAACTTAGTACTAAACTCAACTCAACACAACTCAATCTAAACTCACTTACCCATCTAATCAACTTAGTACTAAACCCATCTAAACCCAACCCAATCTAATCTTAACTCAACCCAATCTAATCTAAACCCCACACAACTCAACTCAACTCAACTCAATCTAATCTTATATTTACTAAGTCTTTACTTATCTTAAACCAAAAACACAAGATAAAACAAAACCAATCAAAAACACAATACAAGATAAGATAAGATAATGCATATGCTATCTTTATTTAAAAAAGTTGATAGATGATACGCGCTCACCATTCAGTCTTTGATTAAGGAATTCAGTATAGATATGATAATCTTCTGTCGTACTAGATAGATCAACTACTTTAGATATAGTTGGAACAACTAAAGGACTTTCTACTTCAGTTGATTCTGAAGTTCTTTTGACTCTTTTTCTTTTACGCTTCTCAGTGGCTAATTGGGGCTGAAAAGTGGGGTTCTGGACTTCGGGGACTCCCATGGAAAATTTTGCGGTAAAGACTTACTTTTTGCCGTTAGCTTGCCGAGTGACTTTCCTTTTTAGGGTTATACCGGCTAAAAAGATAAGAATAAAATAAGCAAAGATAAGGATAGCAAGGGACTGTTCTATAGTAATAAAGGTATTTAGCATTGATAAGGTTTTTGGACTAAGATTTGTCTTGTTGTGATAGTAAGATTTGAACATAATGTTAAAGAGATGGCGAGTAGGCGAGGCATACTGTAGGAAACGTACCCAAGGAACTAGAGTTTCTGGATCAATTGAGTTACCAGTTAAGAGATTAATTGGGTAAACAATAGCTGGGAAGATAGCTAGGGCTATTTCTGCCGTATCAACTGCCGAAGCCACTAGCAGTCCCAGAGAGTGTCCGACTCCACCAAGAACAACACAGCCGAAAACATGGAAGACTGAACCAATCCGGGCACAAGCAAAAACAATAGGTACAGCTACTAAGGGATGAACACAAGTAATGATGAAGTCAACCATGACTTTAGCAATGAAGTAGGCACTGAAACAGTAGTAGTTAGACCCGTACTCCTTGATAAAGATCTTACGATCTGAGAAGAGAACTGTAATTGCTCCATAAGAGAAAGAACCAAAGACACCCATTGTGACAGCCCAGAAACAACCATTAACATTGGTTTCAATTTGGTAGTCTTTCTGGGCGGGAATGTTGTAGAGGAAAGTACCTGTTACGGCGGCCACGAAGAGGGCTTGGCCGCATTTGGCAATCATGTACTTTTTGTTGCGATAAGCACAGAGGAAGTTACGTGAAGTTAAGATTTGGGTCTCTCTAGCTGTAGTGGCTAGTGAAGATAAGAAAGAAGCCGTATTTTGCTTGGCAGTGGGATGGTGGGGAAGAGTTTGGGACATTGTGTTTAAAATAGTAGCTGTATTGCTTAGACGGGTGCGTAGGGCCATTGTACTATCATCACTATTCTGTTCGGCTAAATCTATGGGTGTATCATTAGGAAGTGCTTGGATAGTTGAACGGGCATCTACAGCCGCCAGACTAGATAGTTTTAAGGAGGCAAGTAAAGACTCGTTAGTGAGAGCAGGAACATGTTCTTTACCGGGCCAGAGAGGTAGACGGTCAAGGACGCGGAAGAGGTGATCGGCTGGATTGGTGTACTTGGGACAGGGTAGGCCTAAAGCTTCTAGGTAGAGTAAGCACTCGGACATTGGTCCAGAATAAACAATGCCACCCGATCTTATGAGAATTATCTTATCAAAAAGACCAAAAACATCAGAGGACGGTTGGTGAATAGTCATGGCTACCAAAAGTCCCGCATTGGCAAGATGTTTAAGATGAAGCACAAGAGATTCAGATGTATGCGCGTCTAAACCACTAGTTGGCTCGTCCAAAAAGAGAATGCCTGGCATACTGATCAGTTCTTGGGCAACTGAGAGACGTTTGCGCTCACCACCAGAGATACCGGCTCCACCATTAATGGGATCGCCAATACGAACGTGTTGGGCGTGAGTTAGATGCAACGTATCTAGTAAAGCTTGTACAAGACCTTCTGGATCTTGTTCTTGGGGTGCTTTGAGGCGTACGGTGTACATAAGCATTTCTCTAACAGTTAGTGTATCTATGAGATGGTTTTCTTGGTGAACATAAGCTGTACACTTTCTGATCATGCGTTCGGAAAGTTCTTGGCCATTGAGTGCTATCTGACCCGATGATTTTTGTTTTCGGCCGGCTAAGATCTTCAGTAATGTGGTCTTGCCTGCACCGGAGGGTCCTAAGATAGCAGTCATTTGTCCACTTTGCAATGTATCGGACAAGTTATCTAGTACATCTTTAAATCTAATCTTTTCAAAGGTCAAATCAAGCTTGGTCGGCATGTACTTAGCAGAGTCCGGTCTAATTGGGATATCTTCTGAGGGACATACAATTGGTTGCGGATGGGTAATCGCATGTGAAGTATGTCTATCTAACATGTTTAGTTAAGTTTGGCAGAAAAAAATCATATTAATAGCTGGGTGTATTTGGGTGTATTTATGGCTCAATTGGGTGTATTTATGGCTTAATAAAGGGTCTGGGTCGATGGTCTATTAGTTTACAAGTTGGTTTGAGATGTTGTGATTGTTTGGTTGAGTTTTATCGGTTTATAATTTAAGTTAGTTTAGTTTAGAATTTGAGTTGGTTTTGGATTGCCATATTAAGATTTGTTTGTTAAGATAAGATATGTTGGGTTAGTATTGGATGGGGTGAAATGAGGTGAGTTGGGGTATAGTAAAGTAAGATGGGGAGGGTTAAGTTGAGTTCAGAGAAGATAAGAGACTTATGTCTGCTCATCTCAATACAGTGCCAACTTACCAATCATGATTAGCAACCCAATACATATCTAAATTAGCTCAATATAATTCCAACTTATTAACAGCTTAACTCAATACTAATTCAATACTAACACAACTCAACTCAATACTAACACAACTCAACTCAATACTAACACAACCTAACTCAATACTAACTCAACTCAATACCAACTTAATGGTTATATAGATGATAGAATGGTTTGTTTATGGAAACAAGGAGCTTTGTGTACAATGGGGAGTCGGTGGTGGTGGAGACAATTTACGATGGAGTTCGGGTGACAGCTGGTGAGGGTGAAGGAGAATACTTGGTAGGTAATGGATTGTACCAAGTCCCGGAGAAAGTAGCGAGTATTCGGATTGAACACTTGGAATTTATTCGCGATAAAGTATGTCCGGGTGGGTACTGCTTGACAAATGCCGCGGAAATTTCGCAAGAGTTGGTGGTGTGCTCGCGGGAAGTTCCTGTGCGCGTGCCATTTGTAGTAACAGAACGAATGTGTGGGAATTACTTGCAAGTCCAGGTGCGGGCTGATAAAGGCTTGGGTTTGGGCCGTAAAGGCAGGAGTGTTGTGAGAGAGGATGTGGTGGTTAGTATTAATGGGCATCGCATGAGTCGGGGTAAAAAGAGATATATGCTGCGGATATCAGAACTTGATCATTTTAATAGTATCTTGTGGGTGTCGGTTAGTTATGGACAGATTCAGTATACGAAAGAGGCCAAGATAAAACTACCCCTGGATTTCATGTATACAATTGGGACTAAGCGACTAGGGGATAAGCGCTTTGTGCGGCTGTGTTTGTTTAAAGCTACAAATCTAAGCCAGTACGAGGTTGAGCTTTTGAATCCTTTAGGGGAAAAGGCTGGGTATGGGCGGACTGGATCTCTTGGTGTACGCGCGCCTGAAAAGAAGTTCACAGTGCAAGATCTTGATTGTTGTACAGAGCTGTTTTTTGAAGTGATTAAACTGCAAGACCGGGCTAGATTCTGGTTTGCCGCTGAAATCAATGGAGTCAAAATAGAGTTGCCACTGAAATGGTAGTCCATTCGTGTAATATGTCATTGTACTCGCACAACTCAAATCAATACTAATCTTAACTCAGTACAACACTAATCTTAACCCAACTCAACTCAACCCAATACCAACTCAATACTAACTACATCTCCGCTTGTACTTTTTTCTGAATGACGCCACCATCTAATGAGATGAGTATTATGAATGTCTTAGCAAGTTTTGAGCTGGGCAAGTATCAGGAAGCAATTGACCGTGCATGGAAGGTTTTATACGATGTGATTATTCCTTATAACACTCCGGGTATACAAGAAGCTTTGGGCATCTATATTGTGGTTCTGCGGCAGTTATTGGGAGTTCCCGAAGTCTCCCAAGCAAGTACGCGCATTCTAAATATCATTGATTTGATTGTTCATCCCAGAAAGGGATCTATTTTAGATAATACTGGTGTAATTGGTGAAGATGAAGAGATACCGAAACCGACTAATGACTCTGCGGAGTTGGATGAAAGCATGGACAAAGATAGTGAGGATGTGAAAGAGTCTAAAAAGAAAGTGTGCTTTACAATCGTTGAATAAATAGACAAGTAAGTATTGTGTTGTATTGTGTTGTGTTATGTTTTATTAGATTGAATGTTGTGTTTGTTGTGTTTGTTGTGCTTTGAATATTGAATATCGGAATTGAATATCGGAATTGAATATCGGAATTGAATCTCGAAGTTGAATATCGGAATTGAATATTGAAATTGAATATTGAAATTTGTTACGGTTCTAGATTATATTCAATGTTTATTAAGTACAGTGGTTGTGATGGTGTTGGTTGATCACCGGCCAGACACCTACTCATTCGGCAACATCTCTATAATTGTCTAGTCCGTCGCCTCGGCGAGTGTATGCGGCTTTTTGGATTGCTTCGAGATAGCGAAGACGGCTGCTTCGCTGGGCCATGAAGTGAGAAACAATGTAAGATAGTGCTACTACCAAAAAACCTCCTCCAGCTACGGCTAAAAGTATCATGCCCCCATAGAAAATTACCGATGAACTGATGAAAGATGAGGATGGCTGGCTGGCGGGCTGTGCTTCTGGAAGATCTTCCTCTTCAGTTAAACTACTGTCTTTCTTAGATTTGCTGGAACTGCCCTTCTTTATTGGCCCATCTGGGGTGGCTGGTAGATCGCTTAAGTCAATTTCGCGGCGCGAAGACTTGGATTTGGATGGATTGCTGGAGGTTTTCTCTTCTGGTTCTTTCAGTGCACTCTTGAATACTGGCTTCTTGGTCTTTCTGGCAGTGAAGGTTGAGTTGAGCGAATTTAAAGCCGATTTACCACTGGCCTTAATCCCCTGGGCTGTGGTGGTGACCCATTCCTCTGGGTCTATGCTTTGGTTATAGCGAGACGAGCTTCGCTTGCAATGTGTAGAATTGAACAAGAGGGCCAGAACCACCTGACAAAGGATCAGCGAGACATAATACTTAGTCTTTCTCATCCGAGGTCACAAACAAACAGCGCATATTTGTATTGCCGTGGGTAATTGGTCAGCCACTATCTAGATAATTATAAGCAATTAATGGCCATATTGCTCTTAAATTAGTATTGGGTTAGTATTGGGTTGGTGTTTGGATTGGGTTGGTATTGAGTTAGTAAGATGATTGCTTGATAATTTATCTGTTTTGTGTTTATTGAATGTATTGGGTTAGGTTATTGGGGATTGGTAGAGAGATTAGGTAGAAAAGAAACCTGCTAAGGGAAATTGCTTGTTCTGGATGGCATGGTAGATTTCAAAACCAATGATAATAATAGTACCCAGTACAATCAGGCCAATAGCAATTTTAAAGATGGTTCCACTGAGATTATCAGCTAGATTTTCAACATACTCCATCTTCTTTTTCTGGTAGGTTTCAGCGATCTCCTTCTGGTTGGTTTTGATTATCAGCCCAATAATAGATACAAGAGTCGCCAGCACAAATGAAGCCGTTATAATTCGGTCTTGAATCCAGGTTGTGTCTTTTGGCTCAATCCAGTACGTCAGGAAGGTCAGAGTTATACAGACGCCAATACAGAAACAATGGAGCAAGAAAATCCGCATACGCTTCTTCTCCATAACAATCATGCACGAGTAATCATATACAAACAAGTATGCCATATAGACCACCAATATCATAGATAGCAGCCAAAGATAAAAGAAGTGAGCTGGTGAAAGATGTTGGTGCACAAAGTAGCTCAGAATCATGTTCACCACTAACATAAAACTAAGCACGAACACAGCATTCCGACGCAAAAAGTAGCGTTGCAGTAACTGAAACCGACTGCTGCCACTGCCCACCAAACCCTGCGCACTCTTAATCGCCCAAACGGAACAAAAGATCAAGAAGTTGCCACCAACCACCAGCGAAAATAGAGTCAGCAAAGAATAGTTATGGGCTATATCAACCCCAACACTAGCCGATATCAAACAACAAATCAATATCTCTAAACTCAAAGCTCTAGTTATTATCTTAGGCAACAGGGTTTTGCGCTTAATACTAAACATAAAGCAGTTGATAATCAGCCCACTTAAAATCAGATACTCTGCAATCACCACCCCGTACCCCTCACTAGCAATTGAGAAGGTCTGCACATAGCTCAAGAAGACCGAAAATAAGACCGTAAAGATCAGGGCCAGAGGAAAGTTCACACACAGTCTTTTAAGCACGGCAAGAATATCACCGCCCGATGCATGCCGTGCATTCTCCTCCTCCCAATTGGCCCGGGCTAATTGTCGCCTTCCAAAGTACCTAATTGACCTTTCATCAACCGCGGCGGTCATCGGCACGTACTTGATTGCCCAGTCCGCAAAGTCTCCTTCTGGCTTAGGAATGTTAAATGGAATCTCTTCATATTGCTCATCCGAGTCCGCTTGCTCTATATTAGGGCTATTTGTCATCTGAACATCTATTTCGTCTTATTGCTTTATAGTCTTTGCGATTTCCTTTTTGGGCCATGCCAGATTTGGTAAATGAAGTTTAGGTTGATGCTTTATATTTGGCTCTCACAAAACTTTCATGAACCGGCTATTAAATCTCTTCGTACCACCCGTTCTGACTACTGAAATACACCTTGTTAAGTCCATTGGCTTCCATCCCCGGCCCCCGCCCCCAAGGCATTTTCAACCATTTCAACTCGTCTTTTCTTCTCTTAAGCTGGTTAAATGTCTATCTTTTGACGTGCCGCTGTTATTAGTTTCATCGGTACTTCCCAAAAAGATAGGGGCGCAAGTTCTCTACCGAGTGTTTACCAAGAATGGTGCCTTAGGCATGAAGTTTGGCCAATTTCTATCAATGCGTCCGGACTGGTTGCCTAAAGAATCAGTTGACATACTTACTTCTCTCCAAGCCCAAACTCCAAGTAAACAACTGCTAGATGTGAAATCAATCTTCTATCAGGAAACAGGAATTGTTTTGTCCGATAGTGCGATAAAGGAAAAGATTGGAGCAGGATGCATTTCTCAAGTATATCGAGTGGTTCTTAACAACCGCAACTACAGCCTTAAAATCATTGAGCCCCAAACTCGCCATGAAGTCTTTGCCGATCTCTTCCTTCTTAGCAAGCTCGCAACTCTAGTTGGTGCCCAGCGCATGTTTGCTCAGTTTGATGAGATTCTCAGGGACCAACTCGATCTTCGTAAAGAGAAGCACCAGGCTGAAAGGTTTCGGGCTAACTTTTCCTTCTATCGCTCTACTTTGGAAGACAGTTCATTCCTAAACCGGGCCAAACAGTGGCTGCGCCGGTATGAGTTCATTTTCCCCAAACCAATTATAGCTACCCAAAACATTCTACTTACGGAGTACTGGCCAAGCACACCCCGCACTTCTCTTAACCCCGAAGCCGTTCTTTTCCTCTTCCTGAAGATGGTCTTTAAAGACAGATATATCCATGCTGATCTCCATCGCGGCAATCTAGCTGCTATTTCAGGCCCACGCCCAACTACGGTGGTTTACGACTCTGGACTTATTCACTCCCTGAATCAGCGTCAAAGGCAGAACCTAGTTGATCTACTAAAGGAAGTCTTATTGGGCAAAACTCCACAGGCCTTATCTCTACTTATTGACCGCAACCCGCGTAACGCCCATTCACCGGCTGAAAAGCAAGCCTTTGTTCGGGATGGCTGCACTCTCTGGAAGAACATTACTCGCCGGAAACGGGCCATGCTGACCGCGCCCATTGACACATACGTGCTCGCTCGAAAACACAATGTCTTCTTTGATGAGTGTTATACTAACATTATTCTTTCCTCATTACACGTTCAGCAGATCTCTTTTGGCAGCAAATACCCTATCAACTGGGCCAGCTTATTCTTGCGCAGTGGTCTCTTTACTGAATACTTATCCTTGGTTATGCGTTGGTATTGGAGGTCATTAAAGTAAGGCTGTCTCTTTATCTCCCATGCCCTGCTTCATATGATTTACTTCTATAACAGTTTATGTTAATCTAGACCAAGTTATAACAATCTATACCAACTCAATTCTAACTCAATTCAATCCAACTAAATACTAACCCTGGTGCTCTTACCAACCACCTATTCTAATAGACTTAATAAGAGAGGTTAAGAACTCACTGCTGGTCAAATACAGCACGGGCTCTTAACCCCAACTTAATAAAGCGTGATATCGCACTTTTCAACTATAACTATAAGCCAGAAATGGCAAACCTTGGCCTAGATTGAAATGTCTCAAAGAATGAAGTACTACAGCGGCCAGTTGTGGAATAAAATGCTAGATGGTTTCCTGGGAGGGGCAAATTCAATAAACACTTCTCTCTGAATTCAGTCTTTAGTTGAATTCGGTCTTTAATTGAATTCAGTCTTTAATTGAACATTATCGTTACTAAGAGTTGTCTTTATTCACTCACGTAAAAGAAAGTAGGACAGATGGTACTTGGCCTTTAGGATGAAGCTATTATTGGGGAGAAACATGCTAGAAAGAGGTCTCTGTCTATGATAGTCTCTTTGTCACAATCAGTTAAGTATAAATCACCATAACCGATGGATTGGGTTGTTCTTGGGTTGCGATTGGGATTAGCAAAGCCTTCGGGGTTAACCAGGGCTGTGTACTCTTGAATTATGTCTTCCTTGTTCTTGGTGGTTTTGCCGGGGACAAGATCAGTGGGAACACCAACTATACTAAGAATAGAAACAAATATTGGTATGGTTGGAATGGATTGAATGTATGAGATTATAAGATCGAAGGAAAGTACCAGCCGGGTGGCTATTAATACTGGGGAAGTTTCTTTCGCCGCCAGTTTGAAACAGCAATCAAGATTAAGAAGAGAAATGTTTGTTGGGCGATTGGCGTAGTCAGAGTAGATTGTCCTGATGACCATACTAAATTCATTGGAGTCGCTTATGTCGGTTGGGAGATTAGAAGGCAGAGTAATAGTGATGTTGGGCTTATTAATAACTATCCCAAGACCGCATTGCGGACGCAACTCTTGAGTGTCAAAGAAGTTTATCTCTGTCATTATCGGGAAGTTTAGGACCAAGTCCAATAGTGTGAATTGAGTCAGTAGTGGCCAAACAAACGTTTTAACGGGCATGGTGAGGTAGTAGATCATTATACTGATTCGATGTTTCGACTGGTCAATTGCTTGGATTTGGGTTTGAAACGTCTGTTGTAAGCCAGACTCTTCGGTTAACCATATACTGTCGTCTAAGTGTGGGTTTTTCTTGGGTGTATTTAAGATGATCGTTATCTGGTTTTTCTTGTTGTCGTGCTCAAGTATTGTTAGAAACTTAGATACGACAAGAAGGCTATTGGCATAATCTGCGTTGTAGATATTGATCGTGAATGCTCCGAGTTTAATTTGACTGAATTTATCTAATATATTCTGCAGGCTCTTCAAGTCCTCCTTCGACAAGTCCTTGCCTATACAGCACGTATAAATGTCGTACATGCTCTGACTAACCAGTTCATACTTATCGGAGCCAGGGTCTTTGAAAACAATAAACATCGCCTCTAATCTATCTACCTGCACGCTCGGTGCCCTATCAAGATTTGTCCTACATATAAACTTCAAAAGAAGATGCTCCTCTGTTTCATTTAGAAACTGGCGCGATGCAATGTGTTTGGTCATATCTGCTGTGCAGTTGCTGGCACTGCAGACATTGGCATCCCACGTAAAATCAATACAATCTTCAGTGGATTGTGCTTGGGATATTTGGTCTTTGGCTTGGCAACTGTCCATTACTGCTGGTGGATTCTTATCTAAGGTACTCGGGGCATAGTGCGTTGGGTCATTAAAGGTGTTTTCAGATAATTGCCTATCTAAATCACTATGACTGCGCCACTGACTGTATGAAGCACTCTCATTGACAAACCAGCAACAAGGGCTTCGTGCAAGATTATATCCTTGTCCGTTGGCTTGATGGGTTAATTCAGTCGTACCAGAACTGCACCAAGCAAGGCATAGTCCAAAAACCAACCAAACTGCTTGATAAACATTTAACAAGTATTTGTTAAACCTCTTGTCCATTTCGCAATTTGCTATCTTTGGGCATATTTATAAGCCAATAAGTGATATATTGCGGTTGGTGATTAAGAGATAGTAAGACCAGAAGTGATTGTTTAAACCCAAGTAGTGTTAATAGCCAATATAGTACCAATGTAGAGCACTACAGTATCGCAACTAACCACAAACTCTTCATCTAGTACTAACCCAACACCAAACCAATTACATGCTCTTGTTACTCACTAGTGTTCACTACTTTGCTACTATTGTGCATTTTACCGCCTTAAGATAGAATTAAATTCAAAGCACCCATATCTAATGTATTTTTATAGTATAATCTCTGTCTGTTATGACGTCATCTCTCATTCATAACCACATCCAGTTAATAAAACCCCCCATTAGTCGTATCAATATGTATCTTTAATGACGAGTGTATTGATCAGCAGGTTCTTTCCACCTCACGAGCATTATACTATTTCAACCCAAACGTCAACTGAATCTCATCTTTATCCTACTAAGTTTAATCTATTATATATTAGTTGCACATTCTTAAACAAAATTGAATCCAATCGGGTTTGAGTTTTGGTAGCAATAGAATGTTTATTTTGAAACAATACCAAATACTATAGTTGTGAATATAAGTTGCTAATTAGATAGTGCAGATCGCCATTAAAGTAAACCACAAGAACTAAACAATAACCTTTAGTCGGAGTCCTTCTTTGGATGGATAATAGACGAAAGAATATCAGAAGACCGGATAATCCGATCGCTAATAATAATGCAAATCTGATCGGGATACTTCTGGGCAAACCACAGCTGGAGTGATCGATGCTCAAGGAAGGTAGCTCCGCCCGATATAAACACAACCAAGGCCTTTTTCTTGTCCGTGCTAGACTTCAGCGAAGGATATGCACTGTTGCTCAAAGTACCAGCTTTGAGTTTACTGGCCAGGGCACAGATAACTGGAATGTATCCTAGTTTTCGATTTGTGTTCTTCTCATAGGTTGGCCGTCGCAAATCAACTTTGGAGTTCACAAACTGTTTTTTGAATTGTTCTATCTCAGCTCGGTACATACTTTGGCGGTTTTGATCAGGCTTTTTGTCACTACGGAAGATATTAGGAAGTTTGTGTTTGCCAGGAATAGTTTCACTCAAGTAAGAAATGAGGGCCAGTTTTATCTTCTGTTCTTCAGAGTAGTTGTTTGTCGCCGAGACTTCTTCAGAATCCACGCCCAAGATGGTTTCAGCCAGAGCCTCAGCGGCCAAGTCATTCGCCAGACAAGCTTTCGATATTTCACTTAGCGCCTTCAGGTGCATAATTAGCCGTTCACTATCTTTAGCCTTCTGACGAATAGTAGCGACATACTCGCCAATGGTATCTCGAGACTCCTTGACCGTTTTAAGCGAGTCGCGCAAGAAAGTGGTCGCAGATAAGATATCCATGAATTTAGTCTTCTCAAAGAAAAGGTCGTCACTGGTCAAACACAAAGAGTTCTCACCCCAGTGCAGAATGCCCGGCCGATAGTCCAAGTACTCGCCCGCCATACTCTGGTACGACCAAGTATACATCAGAGGAGTAAACAGATCAAAAGCCCTCTCAACCACTAATAAATCCGCATTACAGGACTTTTGGTCCGCAAAAGCACTCGCCACTACTTCAGCTGTTTGATAGCTTACTTCCGAGCCAAACTGAAAGCGAACACTCGGCACCAAGCCAAACCCCTTCAAGGCACAAACTAGTTGCTGTGCACAACGCAAGCCCGTATCCTCACTAAGCAACACCAAGCCAGTATCCATCGGCACTCCACCAATATACAACTCCTGAAACTCACGCACAACTCCATGAATATCTTTATCAGCTACTTGCGAGATTTCTTCATTAGACATTTCGTTAGTCACAAACAAGAAGTATTCACGATACTTAGGCGCCGCCAACTCTTTGAGCAGCAAAGGCAAGCTCGCTTTAGCAATAACTGTCACACAACTTACCGCAATAGCCGGCCGCTCCCGCGCAATCATTTCAAAGAGAAAGAAGTCATAGGAGAGTAACTCACTATGTGAAATAAGCGGCGAGAGTGCCTTTTTAGTAAACTCATCCAAAAGCATGGTCTTTATACCTTCTCCCCGCCCCAAAGCACTCCTTATATCCTTTAACAACACATCCATGCACAACAAACAATAGCTTGCTTAGTATCTACTTAGTACGTACATAGTACTTACTTGACATCTACTTAGTACATACATAGTACATACATAATATCTACATAGTACTTACTTAGTACTTATTTGATATCTACTTAGTATCTAGTTAGTACTTACATAATACTTACATAGTACATACATAACATCTACACAGCTAGCAACTCCACAACCCTAACACAATACTAACACCACCCTAACACAACCCTAACCTAATACTAACACAACCCCACTCTAACTCAACCTAATACTAACTTAACAATTGCTTGGATTTATTGTTGCCGAGTGCTCACTGAGTCCCGCCATACCGAAGTAGTGCCTAGCACCACCCCAAACCATGCGGGCGGTCCGAGCTCAAACACTCAACCGAACTCAACTACTCAACCGAGTAATGAACGCCCATCTAGCTAACTCTGCACTCGACTGCCCCTACTATTCTCACATCTTGGAGAAGCCATTCTTCGGCCAAGAAGATCCCTGCCACATATCAGCAAAGGTCTTCCGCCACTTCTTACTCCAAAGCAATTCCTTACTGAACAAAGGCTCGCCATACTCCTTAGAGAAGTGCGTTGACAAAGCATTCTCTTTCTTCCATAACCCGCCCGTGATCAACTGTCCATCAAAGATAGGTTCAAAAGAAGCCACCACTAAACTGTTCTCAATCGAACAGACAACTTTATACTTAGCCATCTCTTTTGAATTTGGCACCAAAAAGTACCTTATCTCCAACGGATTGTTAGTGAAGACCTTAACACCAGTACTTTCCAGGACAAAGCGCGAAAACGAAGCCGCATAAAAGTCCCAATAGGACAGTACTTTCCACATACCTTGCAAATGATCCGTCGGCTCACCAGCTAACTCCACTACGTCCTTGTGCATTTTCAAAAGACTCTCCTGGTTCTTCTTAGGCGTCCGAATCACCACATTGTGCTGGTGGTTAGCACTGCTATCAAACTTGATATAAACACCATGCTTCTTCATCAGCCGCTGAATAGTCTTCCCACCGTACCCAATAATACGCTTATGGTGCTTCTCGTGCAAGTAAAACGAGTACTCAGCCGGCAACTCGTCCTCAACCAGAGCCAGCGCAAACTCCACATTACGCGACCCGCCCTGAATAAACAGACTTGGCGCAGACTCCTTATGAATCCCAACGGTAGTTTGACTCTCCCGGGCCACCTTATTGATCTTCCCGTTCTTCTTGCCACAGATAAACTCTTCAATGTACGCCGAAATATCAATGTGCAGCTCACACGGGATATCTACCTCTCGCAACATCTTCTTGATTTCCGCCCGCTTACCAATCAGAACCTCCTGCTTATCCATCTGCAGCATAAACACCCGGGCCCCACTATGCGGATCAGTCTTCTCAATACAGACGGTTATAATCGAGGTATACAACATTTCAATCTCCGCCGCGGCTTCGGCCAAACCGTCCAGGACCAGCCCCACCAACTCCATCTCGGCCCAGTCATCACTCGTGTTTATCTCAGCAATGTACACGTCATGCCGCACCAGAATATCCTCCAAATCGGCCCGGAAGTAAACCATGGAGTAGGAGAACTTGATGGCATTAATCAGCACTTTAGTCGAGTGCCGCGCAGCAACTTCATCCTTAGCCGAAACCATCTCATCAATACTCACGCCTGAAACCAAAGCCCGCGCCCCACGAATCTTCGTTTCAAAATAAACCCGACCCCCGGCCTCCACTATCTTACGGCCATTCACGTACGCATTAACCACCAGAGCCTCCCGGCCTTGAAAGTTCTCAACCATCTTGTACAGATCAGTACGGGCCCGGTACACCTGTGCATACGTCCCAGAAACCAGTACAGTTTCATCTTCCTCCACCCGATCTTCAATCCTCACACCATTCCAAACCGAAATCTTATCTATTTCCAAAAACAACTTTTCACGATCAGATAACAAATAAACCGGCATTTTTATCTTGATTGTTTGTCCAAAAGCCTCCTCAATCCCAGCCAGCACCTCCGACCGATCGATCTGCTCACTCGTCTCCACGCGCACGCGCACGGTCTCGTCCCTGATCCGGGCATACGTTATCCCACGACCGGCAATGAACCGTTTTTCAAAGTCGTTCAACGTCTTAGTTAACTGCCACTCGGCCGCCGAAGATTCCGAAGGAAACAGAAAGAACTGCACCGCCCGCACATCGCGCCAAGCTATCTGGCACGCACTATTCGAACAGACCGGCATGCACCCGTTTAAGCACGCGTATTTCAATGGATCCTGAAACGTTCCAGGCCGTCACACCCGCACGAGAAAGCACCGATAAGCGCCCAGACGATCTCCCAAACAAAATTATTGACAAGGAGGGGATTCGAACCCCCGCCTTCCGAAGAAGACTAGGACCTAAACCTAGCGCCTTAGACCACTCGGCCACCTTGTCACTCCCCCTCTCATCTCCCATCACAACCTCAAATATCCTTTTTGTTTGTTTGCCATGCAAGAAGTCTACAGGGAGCACATGCCACTTACGGCACTACTAAACATTCAAGGCAACGTTCTAGTTGGTGGGGGAGGCGGAAATGTCCAATTTGGCTTTCCCAACCAAATCGTTCTAGTTAGTCCATCTAAGGCCGTTCTGGCCAAGCAAGACGTTCGTACGGTCGTAATATCTCTTAATGGCTCAGCAGATGCCGTCATCGTATCTTATGGTGATTCTTTTGATCTTTTTGAAATTGATAAGGACTTATCTACTTTGATTGGACCTTTCCCCCTACCTAATGGCTGTATTTCAGCTGTAATCTGTGGTTCTACTCTCTACTATTTACTGAGCCGGCGTTTGTACTCTTTGCCCATTTCTGGGTTTATTAAAGGCGCCTCGCCCGGTCTGATGGCTTTACCGGCAACTATGCGGACAACAGATACGGTTATTCGTTTATTTAGTGGTGATTCCGGTGTAGATTGCCTAGTTCAAAGAGAAGGCGACTATCTACTTATTAACAACCAGTCAGTTTCTGCTTTAGAAGATAAGATAAGCTACTATACTAGAGAAGGAGAGTCACTGGCATACATAATACAACGATCGGAAGAAAGGACAGGTATAACCATGCAGTACCAGAACAAAGTCTACCAAGTGATTGAGTCGCGGTGTATTTGTGTTTGTGCCTTAGGCCAGGGCTTGTTTGTCGTTGGTGATGGAGATGGGAGTTTAATTGCTTATCGTCGGGGCCGGGAAGTCTGGCGGAAGAAGGTTTCCCATTCACCGATTACTTCGATTAGCCGGGTAGAACGAGGGGGTTTGATGTGCTGTACTATTCATGGGGACTTGATTAGTACGGGTGTAGGTGGAGGTATGCGTGGCTGGGGTTTAGGAGTGGCAGTAGTGGGTTTAGGAGTGCTAGGTGGGGTAGGAGCTAAGTACTGGGCGATGGGTGTGTTAAGTCGGGGTTTAGAGATCGTTCGGAGCTGGTTTGGGTAAGGAGTGGGTAAAAAGAGCATCTCTCTCACAGGGAATCGAACCCTGGTCCCCCGCGTGACAAGCGAGAATGATAACCACTACACCATGAGAGATTGGTTGAGTTGGTGTGTGGTTATGTTCTGGTGGTATTGAGTTAGTATTA